TATTAGAGTACAAATGAGGAAGGTGCACAATAGGTTCTATTGGCGATTGGCCGAGATCAACAGTGAATTTGTTGGGAAAGGTCATATGGAACGCGCTTGATACGAGCTGTGATCCAGACAGTCATGTACATTGGGTGCATGTTCCCTAGAGTTGCCAAGGACTTCCCACCGTGAATGGGGTTCTGAAAAGGAGAAGAGAGAGAGGAAAAGGCAGCAGTGTGGCAAGTGTATATATATAACCAAAGCACTACTTAACCTGTCATGTTGAAGTAGTCAATACAGTAGTAAGTCAAGATAAAATTCATACTGACCACTTAAATTAAAGTAAATTATGGGAATATAAGAATATAACGCACAGATAAAGGAGTACAGCAAAAAGAAGGGAGAGTTGTGCAGTGTCAGGTGGATAGAAGAGAAGTCGAAGTAAGAAGCTGGATTTATGTACGTTGAAATCGAAATTCTAGTTAAAAGAGTAGAGTTTGTAAAAATAAATATTTGACGAATAAAATCTCGTACTGTCTAACTGTTTTTTTTCCTTTATTATTGAATGCCAACCTCTAAGTCATACTGTAAGCGCCTGAGTAAGAATGTTGCAGGTGTCTCGACAGAATAGCGACCTCAGCATAGTTTTGGAAACATGAACCACAGAAGTAGCAAGCGTATAAGAGCAACCTCAGTGTTACTGATTAGTCGTCTCATCAATCTAAAGAGCCGAAAGCAAACAAAATGTTCTGCCCCACAAACATGGGTTGTTTGAAGTTATCGCCCATACCATCAATGTTTGCTGGTCAGTAACTCCACCCTCCCTCCTTTTGTGTTGTTAGGCTCATGTTAAATGTTTAAAAGAAGCTATTGAGTTCTACTTGGTGTTCTATGTCTCGCATCCTGTTGAGAAACACTATTTCTGCAAGTTCCTTTCACAAACTCGTCTGGCTATTACAACTTATGAGCTATTGGTTAGGCATCAATGCTATACAGTTAACAGTTATGGAGAAATAGTAAGAATTTTCAAACAAGATATAAGCATTTTGAATGTAGTGGGGAAGATGTACTTAACTAGCTAAGCAGGAGATATAAAGAGTATTGCGGTTAAAAGCAGAGCAATAGATAACACTAAGGGGCCAAGGTAAGTCAATAGCATGTAAGTGAGAACAGTATAATTGATAATAGGCAATGTGAAACTCACACAGTTGTAAGTGTTGATAAGGTTGCGCCCAGGTGAGTAGAGTGCGTTCTAATCAACCAGTTTGCAGTTGAACAGTGTCGATCGACGCAGTGAGTAGAGTAACCTCTCTACTTCAAATAAAAACTAAAGAGATTTATTTTCAACTATAAAAATTTAATGCTACTTTGGAGGGTAAAAATAACTAAATAAGACGCAGCACTGAGTTCATTATGTTTAAAGTATATGCAGAGCTATTAATATGAAAGTAGGGTGCGAGTGACTTCACGAGTGCAGAAGAGTCAGTGCAACTGAAAGCATCATTAAGAAGTTGAACAAACTCATGTGACCCACTTGCCATGCGTATTTTTGAGGGAAGCCTATTCCATATAAGTGCATACTTAGAGAAGAAAAAGTATTCTGGAGTTTCGGATCTATACTTCTCAAGTATGACCATAGATACTTTATCTCGAAGGTTATGTGTACATAAGCCACGGATAAGGACTAAACTGCAGTAGGAATATGTGGGCTTGTGCAGGAGTTTAAAGTGATGGATCAGATTGGACTTAAGCCTTCTTTTCCATAATGGATCAAGCCAAAATTCAATACATCGGGTTGGATGGTCAATGAGTGAACTATTATTTAGGACTTTCCGAATAAATTTTCTTTATATTCCTTCAAGCTTCAACATATCAGACAGGCGTAGGTTAGAAAATAAGAAAGAACAGTATTCAGCAATAGGTCTTACGCATGTTTTGTAGAGAATTGTTCTGGATTCTCTATGAAGGAAGTTACGAAAGATGAAACCAAGCATTCTTCTCATTCGGGAAACTTTGTTGGAGATATGTTCGGAGAATTTAAGGCTGTGCGAATAATGCACTCAGTTTTACTGTTCTCAAAATCACTCTGTTGGCCCACCATTTATACCTATAATAACCCTCAATTTTTCTGCTAATTTCATTAAAAACATAGCCGCCACCACCTTCCAAATGCTTATAGCTTGTTTGAAAACCCGTACTTTTGTCACGATGACTCAACTGTATTGCGTTGGTGCCTAACCAATTGCTTATAAGTTGCAACAGACAGACTAGCTTGTGAAAGGAACTTGAAGATATAGTGTTTCTCAACAGGATGTGAAATACAGACCCTTGAGTAGAACATAAAAAAGTATCTTTTAATCATTTAACATGAGTCTAACAACACTAAAGGAGGGACAGTGGAGTTACTGACCGGAATACATTGATGGTGCGGGCGTTGACTTCAATCCACCCCCGTGTTTGTGGGGCGAAACGCTTTGTTTGCCTTTGGCTCTTTTCTATCATTGAGATGACTAATCAGTGATACTGGGGTTGCACTTATACGCTTGCTACATCTGAGACTAACGTTTCCAAAATATGCTGAGTTCGATATTCTGCCAAGACAACCCTCAGCATGCTGCCTCAGGCACTAATAGTATGACTTAGAACTTGGTATTCGAAAAAAAATGTTAGACAGTGCAAAATATAATTATCAATCTTTATTACAAACTTCACTCTTCTTCCTGAACCCAGGCGCTCTACTGAGCACCTTCTCTACTTGTACTTAGTTATTCCGAAGATGGCTGTATCAAAACTGTACCTTTCATTGACATGGAGTAAATGTGCTATCAGAAACATACTTTTATTTCTACACTAACTTCGTTAACTTTTACGGTAAATTTAGTTTACTCGATTGCTGCACATTACAAGTACTCACTATATTCCAGTCTTAAGAGACTAGAATCAGCAGCAGTGGAACTGCCGCAGACCAGCTGAATTACTGTTTGTACTGTCGAACGAAATTGAAGGATAGATGAATGAGCATACCGTCGAAAACGTCGTTGATGAATCTCAACAATAGCTAGGAAAGGTTAGTCTAAAAATACTAATCCCATAACACGAAATAGTGCAACAACGTATTGGGACCAGCACAAGACAGTGAATGCAGTCTTTTGACCTAGTGAAGCCCTTGAGGTGCATGTCTAAATTTGAAACTACGAAAATAACAGTGATTTCATTCCAAGGTGTAAATGGCGAACATGATTCGGAAAGTTCACACGTCAAGGATTTGACGGGGACCATCTTCACTCCACCCTCCTTCCTGATCTTCACTAATGACGTTCTCCATAAAATCAGATTGAAGGGACCAATATGTTCGGATGGCACAAAGATCGTTAGGCCGATAAGAATATATAAGAATTCATTTTAGTTTCAAAGAGACAGTAAAACAGTAGAGCTAAAAAATAACTTGTTGTGATGTCATCTGATTTACGCCTAGTCTCATATGACAAACAAATCCACTCGCTGCCGTGAGACGAAAAGTTGTCACACAATTTGCAAAATATACGAATCCACAAATGACTACTGAAAACGATTCGGATTAGTGGAGTCAAGCAGATGGACTACTGCCAAATGAACATCACCAAAGACCTGGAACGGAACACAAACAACATAAAGCCAGTGCCAGTAAATCATTCGGTTTATGCAAGGTCATTAACCTCAGACCTTACAAGTCACTACGTCCTGAATGGTTTCATCTATGTTTGCTGTCAACCCTAGTTATAATTATTGTAGAATCACTCAGTATGCCCCTTTTCCAAGCTCAACTACCTAAGGATTAGAAGAACACTTTAATCAGACATATATTTAAGTACAACAAGAGAAGGAACGTGTCTAAATACCAACCTGTCTGTATAATCGGTAAAACGTAAATTACTCCAAAAGATAATTCGAACTAAGTTACTAAGTCATATCGGATTATGCAATCTGTTATCAGGGGTTTCGGAATAAGCACTCATGTTAAAGAAACCTAATAATTGTGACAGAGTGTAAAACAGTAGCTGAAGATTATGGATGGCATATTTTTCATAGATTTCAACAACTCATTTCATAAGGTTTCTCACCGAGGGACTTCGCAGCTCTCGAGTTTTAAAATAACCGTTGGTGCACTCGAATAGACCCAAACTTCCTTCGTGGCTGAAGACTAAATATGAAGGTAAATGGGACATTATTCGAATGGGACCCACAAAGCACGGTCTTGAAATCCATATCGTTTTTTTCACGTCAATGAATTAACAAGGCTGCTTAATTTACAGACGGCGTCAAAATTCGGAGAACGTCTCTTAATGAGGCCAAACTTCCTGATCTCCAAACTCACCTGGACAAATTAGTTAGCCGATCCAATGGCTGAGGCTAACTGAAGATGCTGTCGCACGTGCGAGAAATATGTTAGTAACAGGTCTTTCTGAAATCCCCTGAAATAAGTGCTGAAAATGTTTAAACCTTTTCTCTTTATCTAGTCGTACAATTCTGGCTGAACATATTTTGGCCTTCCGTATCTTTATTAACTGTTTGGGTGTTAGTATGATTAATCTTTGTGTTGGCACAGAACTAATTATATCTAAGATCACTTCAATAAGGTCCGAAAGCCATGATCAAATAAACCCACCTTAGGATCCCGTTTCCACTGCGAGTAGTCAGTGGCTCGAACGCCTTATTCTAACAAGTGGTGTCAGCGCCATCAGTCAGCATTCTCGAGGAAAACTTAGATTTCACAGGAAAATCATGTGTAAGGATTAACACAGGTTGACTGACCTACTATCCCTTTTAATCAAAGTAACCTTGGAAGTTACTGGGAATTAGAATCCGCATCACAATTTTTAATTTTTATTGCTTGATTCCTCTCAGAGTAACCAGTTGTTGATTGCTACAGGGCACTTAAGTTCACATGATGTAGTTTTATCTCATTCAGATCATAATTATCTGAAGTGAAGCCACGAGAGCTCGAAACGCATTGGAAATCGAAATGTCCAGCAACTTACAAATGTTTGCGTTACTTTAACCGGTTGATTTTTGTACATTATGGCTAAATGTTAAGATGAGCGTTGGTAAAAGAAAATTCACCCAGCACATAATCCCAAACCCTCAAACTTTCAAATACAAAGATGGTTCATCGGTGGGAAATAGCGAACTCCCTGAGCCAATGGTTTGTACTTTTAATACAAATAAACTAATTTATCATAGTGGTGTTCGTCTGTTCCTATGCCGATCGACTACGAAGAATATGTTACAAAAAATAAGGCACTAATAGTCAATGATCCATTTCGGGAAACATTACTTTTTCCTCAAGACGATTTGAAGGTGAGTTTTTGAAATATCCTATAACTATTTAGCTTTGCTTCAAGTTTTATTTTATCAGTATCACATGTAAAAATGATGAAATCTCATCTAAATACATTTTTCATCAGAGACTAAACCAGTCGACTATCACTTTTTGGACAGTTATTGAGTCCTAAAGTTTCTGATTTCTTACATGGTTAATAGATGATGTATTTAATGACGCATAGCCAATTATGCATTTTAAAGCTATTAATTGTTGCAGTCTCATCATTATAACTGTAATTCGAGTGTGGTCACAATCAGGTTTAAGTGAATTAATGTTTACTAACGATTTCTGTATGTGGTCAATACGTATTTTCTATGTTCGAAATCAATTTTTAATCTATGGACAAACTTATAAAACAATGTCGTGATAAATCTATGATGTGTATTTGATTTGATTTTGATAGAATTGGCAAAATATTATTTTTCATTTTGTAGTCATAATTTTCATAGATTTAAGTATACGAACTTCGAATATTTTTATTAGAACTCAGTTTATTTTTACTATTTGCAACAGCTTACTGCTGTACCCATAGAAAATGTAAAAATTTATATTTTAAGTACAAAAGTGACCCTACGTGAATCATCATTTTATTCGCTGCATATTGTTACGCTATTGTAATAGTTTGAGTCTTGTAACAAACTTGGAAATACAGGTCTTAGTCATCTTAAAACCTGGACTAAATATTTATCAACTCAGAATACTGAGATCCAGATTTGAAATGTGCAACACAATTGTATCAGTGCAAGGCAGTTGGAGGCCAGACGGTTAGAACGGCTGCTGGGCGGCTCAGTAATCCGTTTCGGGGTGCCAGGTCTAGCTGGGAAAGCTCGCCTTGCCGCCCTTGCCGATTGGGGATTGTAGGTAGTGGGTTGTTCGGAGGGATCGAGTTGATTCATAGGTGCCTGAACGGGCGGCACTGCTCATGTGCGTGTTTTTTGGACATCCACTCGTCTGCAGACCAATCTAGACAACTTGTGCGTTCCCGTATGGGGCAGGGGTGATCGCGAATTTGGCTTTTGTGAGAATCCTTGTGTTGCCTAAAAAGCAGTAGCGTGCATGTGCAGCAGGCTTGTTGGTTAACCAAGAATTAACTCATTGTATAATCGTGGTACTTACTTACTTACACCTGTTACCCCCAACGAAACATAGGCCGCTAACCAGTATTCTCCAACCTTCTCTGTCCCGGGCTTCTCTTTCCAGTTCCGTCCAATTTTTGTTCATTCTTCTCATGTCTGTCTCCATTTCTGGGCGTAATGTATTCCTTGGTCTTCTTCCCTTTCGGTCTTGAGGATTCCAAGTGAGGGCTTCTCTTGTGATGCAGTTGGGTGCTTTCCGTAATGTGGGTCCTATCTTTTTCCAGGGCTTCTTCCTAATTTCTTCCTACACTGGAATCTGGTTTGTTCTCTCCCACAGTAGGTTGTTGCTAATGGTGTCTGGCCAGCGGATCTGAAGTATTTTGCGTAAACACGTGTTAATAAATACTTGTATCTTCTGGATGATGGCTTTGGTAGTTTTACAAGTTTCTGCCCGATTGAGAGGAACTGTCTGGACATTTGTGTTGAAAATTCTGATTTTGGTGTTGGTTGATCGTTGTTTTGAGTTCCAGATATTCGTCAATCTTAGAAATGCTGTCCTTGCTTTGCCAATCCACGCCTTCACATCTGCATCAGATCCACCTTACTCGTCAATGATGCTGCCCAGATATATGAAGGTTTTTGAGTCCTACAAGGCATCTTCATCAAGAGTGACTTGGTTGGCGCATGTTCTGTCGTATCGGAGAACCGTGCTTTTCCCTTTTTGTTCGTTGAGACATGTTGCTACTGAGGCTGCTGCCAAACCGGTCGTCTTGTTTTGCGTTTTTGTTGCGTGTGTGATAAAAGAGCCAGATCATCTGTGAAGTCCAGATCGTCCAGCTGTATCCTGGCTGTCCACTGTATCCTGTGCCTCTCTCCAAATGTTGACATCTTCATAATCGTGGTAATAAAATTTATATTCCTGTTGCTCACTAGTACTGTAAATGTTTATCAAATTATGATGCATTCTAATATGTTTAATTCGTACAGCTTCATGTATTAATATCGATTGTACTCGTTCTCATCATTTGTTTTGTTTGTCTTACTAATAAAAATTAAATCTATGAGGATCGATTGCAATGTTTCTTGATATTATTTGTGTATAATTAATTATCTTCCCATGTATTTCAGGTAATTAAAATTCCTCATTCCCGTCGATCGTTGGGAAGTGCTGTTCCACAAGCTGCACTTAAGCCTGATTTATTTGTTTCCAATTCATTAGCACGTCATGCTGTATCATTTTTTGCCACAACAGAATGGTGTTATATTCAACAACTGTCTTCCGTTTATCGTGGAAATTTTCTAATGCTTCCATTTAAAAAGTAAGATTTTTTTAGATTGTTTTATAGATATAAAATCCAGCTTCATTGACACGTATGTTTAGTTTATACAATAGTAACCGAAATACTCTAGTGTATAAGGAAATCCATACTGTTATTGTCCCACAATGAGTGGATTTAAAGCTATTATTGGTGGCTGATTCTCCAACTAATCGTGTAACTTATCTTGATGGAAATGAATTCGCATTACGGGGTTGTGAAGATTGTTAAGTTACATGAATCGACCACCATTAGACCACCATTAGAAACCTGCAAGAAGCACTGGACGGCCGTTTCGTCCTGGTATAGGACTCCTCAGTGGCAGTGCGCATCCACGACTCCTGCACCACGCAGAATTCGAACTATAAATGCACTAATCAGTTTAATAAGGAAAATATTCTAGTTGTTTGTTTATTGAGACTCACTACTTATTGGTATGCTTTCATTTGACATTTTACTTGTTCAGTTACATGATTTACATATCAGAATACTGTTTAAGTACTTCTGATTAATTATCTAACCCTTATGTCATCCATCCTAAATGTAAGTTTAATGAAGTATGAATTCACGTGAACTGTCGATTATATGAAAAATAGATTAATGCTGTTAACAGATTTGATTGTTAATTGTATTGAAGATTAAGTGTAGACCTGTCAAATTCATTTGATCGAGTTATCAATAGTATACTTCCTTTACCATCGTGAAAGTCTCAATTGCAACTTATAGGCCTCATGGTAGAATTATAGCTTGCAAAACCAACTAATCATAAAGTTAGGCATACGATACTTAGTAAATATTAGCAAGTCGGTTAGTGAAGTCGTAAAATTACATCCTCTAAGGTGGCTAAGAATTATAACATATACCCAATCATCCTCTGTCTCGATGCACAATCTTGGCTGAAGTAAGGATAGATTCTGAGAAAACTAAGAGTAGTCAAATGAAGACGTGACATCCGACCATGAAATCATTGAGTTTTGATCTGGTGAATGCAGACTGTCCAGTTAAAGACCATACGTTTATCATGGTCAGTTAAGTTGCTTGGCTTGAATTGGTTTCAACAGTGCAGATTCATTCCTTATCTGTTTATCCCTTTACCTTAAGTTTAAAGTTTATTGTGTACTTTTATTCCATAAGTTCATTCATGGCAAATGGTACAGTGTATTTCTAGTCGTAAGATGATTGATATTACTTACTAACTTACTCCTGTTACCCCCAATGGAGTATAGGCATCTCCATCAAGAGTGATTTGGTTGGTGCATCTTGTGTTATATCGGAGAATTTTGCCTTTTTCCTTTATGTATGTTGAGACCTACCGCTGCAGAGGCTCCTGCTACACCGGTCGTCTTGTCTTGCATTTGTTGTTGCGTGTGCTAAAGAAGAGCCAGATCATCCATCTGCATCCTCTCTGTCCACTGAATACCGTGCTCCCTTCCAGATGTCGACGTCTTCATAATCCATTCGATCACCAGGAGAATGAGAAAGAGTGAGAGTAAGCAACCTTGCCTCACACCGGTCGGTCTTCATCTCGAATGAGTCTGTTAGCTGTCCTTCGTGTACGATTTTACAGTTTAATCCATCATAAGAATTCCATATGATGTTAACTATTTTCTCAGGCACTCCGTAGTGTCGAAGAAGCCTTCACATTGTTTTTCTATCCACGCTATCAAGTGCTTTTACGTAGTCGATGAAGTTGATTGTTCCACAATGATCCGTACACGTCAGTATACGATCGATCCTTACGAAATCTATCCTGTCGGTCTCGAAGTTGGGCTTCTATGAAGTCCTTCATTCTGTTTAACAACACCATGTTGAAGAGTTGATTGATATTACTACTACAATTTATAATAATTTTGTATAGATAGTAAACTGTTCAATAAGTAGAATGTTTTACACTTTGAAGAATGTTTAACATTCTCTTCTGTTTGATGTCAGTTACCTAGAACAAAACATTTTTAACATTTTGGGGCACAGTTTTGGAGGTTTGCGTTTTTTCTTACACATTTGAGATCATCAATCAATCATTGTTAGGCCACCATTAGGAACCTGGAAGCACTGGACGGCCGTTTCGTCCTGGTATGGGACTCATCATCAGTGCACATCCACGACTCCTGCACCTCGCAGGATTCCAACCCGGGACCTTTGGCATTGTAGGCGAACGCCTTACCATCGGACCACTGGGCCGGCATCCAACGGTGTTAATGTCTAACTCTGATTGATCTACGGATTTTGCGCGACCTCACCCATTTGTCTTTGGTAGTTACTGCCTACACCCGACAAGGTTGAACTCTATTGATCACGTCATCTCAACTATAACTTCGAGAATTTCCTCACGAAGCTGCTAGTCACTAGTGAGCGCACTGTTACGATATTTTGGAGCAGAGTTTTGGAGGTTTGCGTTTTTTTTTTACACATTTAAAATCAACATTTACTGGCTAATCATTTTGAAATGTTTACATTTTGATATAAACCTATCTCATATCTCATACAATTAAAATTATTTTCATTCTAGTGATATCAATGAATTAGCTGGAACATTATCTGAATATTGGTTTTCAATTGATCATTCAATTTTATCTGATCAAGATAATATCAACCATCTTTTAGCTTCTAATCATATATCAACTAATATGGGGCAAAAATTACGATCAACTAGTGGATTTCAAGTACGTAGTCGTCGATCAGCTACAACTGGTCTAGTTAGAACTGGTCAAACTGTATCTGAAACAACTGGGAATCTACAATTGAAAGATCATGCAAAATTAGAGAAAATCAATTCAGATATTAGTTTAACAAGACGTGGTAGTAACAGTAGTAGTTGTAGTAGTGGTAAGACAAAAGATACAGAACAAACTGATGAAGAACCAATCATCAATAATAATAATATCTCAAATTTAAATTTGGATGCCAAACAAATTGAAAATGGAAAGTTTTCAGTAAGTGTATTTGGCTTATAGTTTAAAACCATAAAATAACCTTAATTATAACATTAGTACAAAAGAACACTTAAATAATTGTTGCGCCACACAAATCGATGGATTTGTTTCTGTATTACGGGGTTGTTGTGAAGATTGTTAAGTTTTATTTGTAACCATGAATCGATCTTTGTTAGACCACCATTAGAATAAACCTGGAAGCACTGAAGGACGGCCGTTTCGTCCTGGTATGGGACTCATCAGCAGCAGTGTGCATCCACGACTGCTGCACCCCGCAGGATTCGAACCCAAGACCTCCGGTATTGTAGGCGGACGCCTAACCATCGGACCACTGAGCCGGCACCTTCCTGTGTTAATGTCTAACTTGTTCAATTCACGGAGTTGCGCGACCTCATACACAGTCTTCGGTAGTAGTTACTGTCTACACCCCAAAAGGTTGAACTTCACTGGTCACGTCTTCCCACTAGAACTCGGAGAAGATTCCTCATCAAGCTAGTCACTAATGAGCACAAGTAATTTGCATTACGGGGTTGTGAAGATTGTTAAGTTTCTGCTTTGTAATATTATCCAGGTGCTCTTGATGCGGCAGCTAGTCGGGAGAGTTCATTCTGGCTCGTTGTATATAATCCGCCATTGTCAGACGTGTATCGCCACTACCAGCGAAGATCTATTCACTATCTTCTCGTA